CTTTCTTTAGCGGGGACAAATCGCGAAAATATTTCGAAGTATATCCATAACAGTTTGTCGAATGTGTCTCATCTTCCAGCAGTAGATCAAGGGATTGAGGGATGAATTGAGAAACACAAGTGTCCTTGTGAAATACAATAAATGAGATAACAAGGGAGTTTCACCGTTGACGGTCTTAGCAAAAAGATAACAAGAAAGTGGCAAATAGCAAACTAAGTACACGAAATAAACGTAGAATGTAGCCAGTGAAGATTTTTTCAGCCTTGCTGCATTTGTCATATCTTCATTCTGTGTCGCCTGTTGCACTTGCAGAGCGTGAATCTGATTTGTGTGGTGTCTGACGGAAGCGTATATCTTGCAATAAAGCAATCCTGTAGTTGTGACACAAACAACTACAATGACCGCTCGCATAATACGATGACTTGGATAGGAAATTGATGCACTAAACACCCAGACTGAGATCACAACAGCAACAACTCGTTTGTGAGTCACAAGCTCCTGATATCTGAGATGAAGATGAATGGCCAAGAATCTGTCCACAGCTAATGCAAAAACACCAAAATTCGAAGCAAAGACCAATATTTTTGCCTGGATTGAACGCGCTAACTCTACTGTAGAATAAGCAGTACTGTTTTTTTCTATCACAAGAGTTGCAACATACAGTGGATGGACAAGTAAGCCTACACCCAGATCAGACACAGCCAAGCTTAGTAGCAATGTTTTTAAAGTCTTAGGCAACGACGACGTTTTTCTGAGCGCTTGCATGGTTATGATGTTTAATACGATGGCGGTGAAAGACAAGAAAGCGTTGAAGAAAACAAATGTCAAATTCAAGCCTTCCGCACTCGCCATCTTTTTTTTTTTTTTTGTTTACATAGCCCTAATCAGCGTTCAGTTTCTATAATACGTAAAGATCTGAATTTCATTGCTTTCTAGGTTTCATCCGTTTTTGAATGAGACTGATCTTCAGCTTCCACCATTGAATGGAGCGTTATATACAGTCTTAAGTTTCAGCAGCTGTACTTTTGAGGAACTCTCAGGGGCACCCAACGAGAATATAGTTCAAAACCACTTAAACATAGCATTGTTAAACGTGTTTTAGTATTTAAACGCTGGATATGGGCATATTTTTATCCCCTATAAATTTTTCATCTGTTCGGACTTCCTAGCTGAAAGTCTAGTGATCCGAAAATTATAGGGATCAAAACTTACCTGTTCGAAATTTTCAGCCAGAAAAAAGGCTCCCGAAAATTCTAGGTGACCTTTTAAGGGTAAAAATCCGTTAAAAATGGGCAATTATAGTACCTTTTAGATGTTCGAAAATCCTAGGAGAGCTAGGCAAGCAAAAAATTTTACAACAAATGTTCCGAAAATTCTAGATCTCAAATCGTCTTCCGAACAGATATTTTCCGAAAATTGTCGTTGGGTGCCCCTGAACTCTGCAATTTTTTTCTTTTTTGCACGAGACTGACGCTGGAAATTACTCTTTGCGAGACTTACTGAATATTCTCCAGACTTCCTCTTCCGATGGCAATTGGTTTTTAACTGAGAACTGTGGAGTTAGTAAAAAAAGTCCCTAAGTCGTGCTCACAATATCCAAACTCTCACCTTGCTTGAAATTGAAACTTTGCATGTCTGAACCCGGAGTTGAAACTTTAAATGTAACGTTATCATCACACAGTAATTAGTATTAATTTTCTTTCAAGCGAAACGCAATAGGTCGTATAAATGTTGAAGTTCGTCAGCTAAAAAGGAAGGAAGTTATATGAAACTACTGATGCAATATTAAATAAGCAAAAAAAAGTTGGTTTTCAATCATGAATCGCAAACATACAGTCAGACAGAACGAGCTGAGAGGTGACTTGAGAGGAAAACGAAATTTTTACGTCGAAAACCAATCCAACAGTATTTGCTGGACCCATGAACACATTTTCTGATAAATTGCATGTTTACGGGTGACTTAAAGAGTGTGAGGCAGCCTAAAGATACAGCACCCTAGTCACTTAATAAATCATCTGTTCCTTAATAATTAGAGCAACTAATAAGATGCAAGTCGTATTATATAGGTTCAGTTTCTTCAGTTTAAAACACACAGGCTGAATATTATGTTTTTTCTGCCGATTTTAGGCTGAAAATATTTTTGTATTATAATTCTTTAATTGTATCAGGATAAAGTTCGTCAGTCAAATGGAAGTGAGTTATTCGAAACTATTGGCCCAATATCAAAGTAGAAATGGCAGCTGGTTTGTGGTGAATCGTAAACACAAAGTCAAACAGAAAAGAGTTAAGCAATGGTTTAGAGGAAATGCAGACTATTAAGTATGAGACCAATCCTACGTGTTTGCTGGACTAAAGGGAAACAAACGCACGTTTTTTTTAGTAACTATGACAAACAACGAGTCTCTTGACATGAGAGAAGGAACTTGTTCCCCGTAAAAAAAAAAATTACTAGCCAAGCTTTTAAAACATAGACCAGCACAGTAGGTAGTTAGTCTCGCTTATGTGCGCGCCAGTTGTGGACACAACTGAACACTATTTTTTCTCCTTCTAATTAGCGAAAACCTTTCAGAAACACAAAGTTTTTCAGTATCAAATGCCAATACTCTTCTGGATTTTTCCAAATTGGAAATCCACATTTTAGTTTGGAAGGCGTTAAAAGCTGACTATTAGGTCGGACACCAATCCAACGTGTTTGCTGAACTCAAGTAAAAACTATAAAAAACGCCCAAGTTTTAATTAAATACGACTTACGACGAGTCTTAGGAGTGGGGGTTCAGAAAAAAAAGACATTTCCTATAAAAAAACTTACTAGCTGGGGTTTTAAAACAAAGATACAGTGGGTAGTTACTTAAAAAATCATTCGGTCATATATGTGTCAGACTTGATCAGCTGCAAACGATCAGAACGTCTAAAACACCGGCCCATTGTCTGAGTCTCAGCTTAATGAAACCAGCCAACACCAGGAGGCAATTCAATGAGTAATCATATTCCAAAAAAGTAATATATGCCTTAAACTACAATCAACTCGAGAAGTGTGTTTCAATTTCATTTTATTAAGAAAGTAATCAAGGACCATATACTATGCTTTATTAACTTACTTAATGGATAGTGGTATTAAATTCATCCGAGGCAGCTATCAAAACGTGAATCATATTTATTTATCTCCAGCTTTTTAGGTTAATATAAAGAAAGTTCATCATTGCTTGCAATTTAATGCGCATTTAATAAACAAGACGATACTTTCTCCCCTTCATTGACACATAAAGTTGTACTCGTAGCATCCGAAATATTCCCTTGTTTGGAATTAAAACAAGAGCAGAGCATTAAAACAGAGCCCGTAATTCATAATTTATAAAGTCCTCATCACACAGTAATTTGAATATATTTTCATTTAAACCGAAACGCGATAGTAACTAATTCACATTCGCATAAAAGCCACCTTATGCCTTTTGATGGATAAGTTATGGGTGAAAAATTTTGCATAAGGCATAAGGTGGGCTGATAGAGAAAATTTGCCAGCGCCGCTGAAGGGGAGGAGGGTGGGGAAACTTGCTTGCCCGTTGTAGAGTAGACTTGCGAGAAGACGGTGAATTTGTTTGCTAGGGAGTATAAAAGGCCTAGGGAATTTCCCTGGGGACCGTAAAGGACCAATAGACTGCTTCGCGGGGGAGCACACACTAATCTAGTTGATTAAATCGTCACGCGCCGGCTTTTATACGAATGAGAATAGGTCGAACTTTGTACTAAGTGATGAATTTCGTCGGTCATGATCAAAAACGAAGAGATTGAAACTACTAAAGCAATATTAATGTATTAACAACAGCTGGTCGCAATGAATCGCTAATAGAAATTCATACAAAAAGAAATCGGAGACCAATCCGATGTACTACTGGTCAAGCAAAAAATATGAGGCAGACCTTTTGATAAAAACGATCTACGACTAGTTACAGGGAGGAGTTTAGATAAGAAAATTATTATCCATGAAAAAAAACTTACTAGCTTGGGTGTTAAACAAAGACACAGTAGGTAGTTACTTAAACAAATCATGCTGTCTTGTGTGTCAAAGTTTAATCAGTAGCAAATGATCAGAGTGTTTAAAATATCCATTGTAGCCACCAGCCAACACGACGTGGCAATTCGATGAGTAATCATGTTGCAAAAACGCAATGTATGCCTTAAACGACAATCAACTATTTCTCAATTTCATTTTATTGAAAATGTATCGAAAACAATATCATTGCGAGCAATTTAATGCGTACCAAATAAACAAAAAAACTCGCTTATTTCCTTGTAAAATGTCTTCTTATACAAATACACGTAAGGAAGTGGTAAAATGGTTTTTTTGGATAAAACTGATGTAACAATAATTAGCCTCAGCCCCCTCCCTGACTCGAATAGCCTTTTCTAAATGAAGGTAGTAAAAACATTAGACTTTAATTATTGTCTTTATTGGCTGGCACATTTAGCTAGTTGACCCAGAAGTTACATTGTGGGCCAAAAAAAAACTTCAGTGTGTATGAAGTGTGTATGTCTTGTGTTTTTCTTTGCGGTTAAAAGTTGCTAAATGACCAGAGCATACTTTTCTTCCCCCCCTCCCTTGAAATAGAAATTGTGGGGGAACTTCCATGATTATGAAAGAGCGCTCGTAACCAAAGAACAGGAAAACAATGTGTAGGAGAAAACACATTTTAGTTTAAGAATAGTGGAAAATATACGATGTTGTCATACAACAAACTTTATTTGTATACATTCACAATAAATAAATTATAATTACAAATACAGACTACCTGCAAAATAGCGGAGCTAATCGAGGCAGGTAGTATGGAGACGTGTCTATTACCCAATATACAATATTTTTCTAATGACATAACGATATACAATATAATTACGAAATTATAGAGATTAATTACAATAATGAATTCAAAATATATTATTCTAATGATATAAAGATACAAGACATACAATAATTACGAAATTACAGAAGAGATTATGCAATTATTTGATAATGAATTCAAAATACAATAAATACAAGCGGCTAGAGGAGGGATAGAAAACTTGCAGATGTAAATGTAGATTTAGAGGCCAACAAAACCACAAGCACATAAATAGAAACAAGAAACAAGAACTTTAAATTTTTTTTTATTTCATTTATTAACAAAAGAAAATTTTAAATTCCTTTCATTTCACTCATTAACGTATGTATATCGAGATAACAATACTGTTTTAAAAAGATTTGAAATAAGGATTCTTTTTTTTTTCATTTTTTCATTTGCCAACTTATGGCCGTGGGGTGATTAATTACAATAATGAATTCAAAATATATTATTCTAATGATGTAAAGATACGGCAAGACATACGATAATTACAAAATTACAGACGAGATTAATTACAATTATTTTATAATGAATTCAAAATACAATAATTACAAGCGGCTAGAGGAGGGACTTGTAGGTCCGTGCACACTTCGGCCAATCTAATTTTCTATTTTTCCAACAAAAACGGAAAAAGGAAATATTACTTATCGTTATCATATTGACATATTTAAAAGTACAGAAAAAAATAGAAAAAAAGAAAATGGTCAGGAAAATTGATCATTTTTTCATTTTCCTAATTTTGAAGTCCGGTTCTTGAAAAATTCAAAAAATACGGTAAACGACGAAAAGCGATATTTTGCTATTTTTTATTTTCTTGATATTGTTAGAAAATGAGAAAAATGAAATAATCTCCGATTCCTAACTCATTTTTCTATTTTTCCGTTTTTCGCAAAAAATAGAAAAAAGGAAAAATGAAAAAATAATATTTATTCCCACCATTTTTTCATTTTTTCCATTTTGTTCAAAAAATAAAAAAAAATATAAAAATAGCGTACCTGTCGCCTAATTTTCCATAATTCCATTTTAACAAGAAAAATGAAAAAAAATGACAAGTGTTGCGAACAATTTTGTCATTTTTTCAATAAATAGAAAACAAACAAACAAACAAAAACGGACAATTTTTCATCTTTTGTTTTAATGAAAAATAGCAAATAAAAATGACAAATCATGAGCATTTGCCAATAAAGAAAAGAAAAACCTAATCCACTTTAGACTCACTAGTTTTAGTGTTAGACGATTTACACAGGGTCGGCGGAGGCGTGGGATGGGGAGGGTGGGTTTGGGTCCTTTAGTTCTCGGAATGCGAACGTAGTTTCATTCAGTTTTGGATTTGATTAGCTGATTCCTTTACCTCATTACTTAGGACTTACTCTGTGGCCTGATCTAACACCTCGTAACCATAAAGTGTTCCTGTTGCATTTAAACTGTGGGACGTTTCCCCATACTTTCTCTTTGCTCTCCTCTTTCCAGGGCTGAGTTGCTTAAAAGGTGGATAACTATCCAGTGGATAACGCAATTGGTTTCCCTAAAATACATGAAAAATGATCAGGCCGCTGGATAGTGATTTATCCGGTGGATCGTCGCTATCCAATGTTTAAACACATGTATGAGCAAATGTATGGGCCAGAGCATTAAGATGTTCTTTCCAGCGAGTGTATACTAGGCGCCTCGTTATTTTTCTCCTCCATAATAATAGTTCAATATACTTTACTCTTGCAATCCTAAAACACCCGTTCTGCGGCAAGATCCGTTATTTCGGCAGGCTAAGCAGTCTACTTTTGAGCAACTATTTAATTTAAAAACGTCTGACCTCTTCACTGGGGCGCTCTTTATTTATTTTGTGCTTGTGACTGTCCAACGACCTTCTTGTTTTCCCCTTAATATCTCTCACGAACCGCTTTTTTTGTGCTGGGACCATAGTGTTGCTGGCATGAAAACCGTCGAGTTAACCCCCCCCCTTTTCCCGTACCAATTTTCACGCCTTCTCCTCCTCGCTCGTACCCTTTCTCATATTCTTCATTTCCACGACCACAGTCGACTCCCGACAACTCAAACCTTCAGGGGAAATCGAGATCAAAAGAGAATGGAACTACGTCCGCATCTCGAAAACTAAGCCCCCCCCACATCTCCGCCGACCCTGTGTAAATCTTCTAACCAAATTAGTGAGTCGATAGTGGATACGAACGAGGTTTTTCCTTTCTTCACCATTAAATATTCATAACTTCTCACTTTTCTGCGCCATTTTTCAATAAAATGAAAAATGAAACTGTCTGAAAGGGTGTATCGTTAAAGTTTTTCTATTCATCCAAAAAAAAAAAATGGAAAATTGCTCGCAACGCTTATCATATTTTCATTTTTCTCGTTAAAATGGAATTATGGAAAATTAGGCGATAGGTATTCTATTTTTCTATTTTTTCATTTTTTGAACAAAATGGAAAAAATGAAAAAGTGGTGGGAATAAATATTATTTTTTCATTTTTCCTTTTTTCTATTTTTTGCGAAAAGCGGAAAAATAGAAAAATGAGTTAAGAATCGGAGATTATTTCATTTTTCTCATTTTCTAACAATATCAAGAAAATAAAAAATAGCAAAATATCGCTTTTCGTCGTTTACAGTATTTTTTGAATTTTTCAAGAAGCGGACTTCAAAATTAGGAAAATGAAAAAATGATGAATTTTCCTGACCATGTTCTTTTTTTCTATTTTTTTTCTCTACTTTTAAATACGTAAATATGATAACGATAAGTAATATTTCCTTTTTCCGTTTATGTTGGAAAAATAGAAAATTAGATTGGCCGAAGTGTGCACGGACCCTTGTAGATGTAGATGTAGATGTAGATGTAGCTGTAGATGTAGATGTAGAGGCCAGTGAAGCCACAAGCACATAAATAGAAACAAGACTGAAACTTTAAATTCTTTATATTTCATTTATTAACAAAAGAAAAGTTTAAGTTCTTTTCATTTCATTTATTAACGAATCGGTATTGAGATAAGAATACTGTTTTAAAAAGATTTGAAATATGGATTCATTAATCTTTCTTTTTTTCATTTTCATGTTGTTATCGCTGTTGTTCTGTTATACATCATTGGTTACAATAATTACTTTTTTTGGACTCGGTATTTCTAAATGCCTACGGAAACATTAAGTACGGTCTCGTACAAAGTTTTAACGATATTGTAAACGCACGTACCGAGAGTTGCTTGCAAGTCGTTGAACTGGGACATGAGGAAACTGTTTACTTAGGTTCAACCCTGGGCCTTGTACTTAATTGTTTCGTCAAACATTATATGGTTCTAAGTTTTTAATCTCAGAGCAAGAAGCACTTTGATTGATATTGGAGCCATATTATGTCTGCTCTCAGGTTCCGTATTATAGTATTTTAAAGTATTATGATGTCATAAGCTATATCATTTGTTCTGATCGGTTGCGCTCTCAGGGAAGCTCTTTCTTTCCCAGTTTGAAACTTTCAAATGTAGTGATCTTATTCAGTAATTTCTGGACTCAACAAATTAAAAAAAAACCCTGATTAAATGATATATTTTTACCATTCTTCAAAACATTTTAGCTTTTTCACGTGAACTTTATTGATATGAATCAATTACAAGTATTGTAATATATATTCTCAACAGTATAAACCTACTAGTTTTCTTCTCTCTCAACAAATAGGCCGTGTTGTTCTTCTTATCATTATTATTCTTATTAGTATTATTCTTATTTTTTTATAATAATAATAATTATTATGTGTTGTTGTTGTTGTTGTTGTTGTTGTTGTTGTTGTTATATCGGTCAATCTTTTCACCACTCTTGGTACATTCAGTATGGAAGATTTATTGACATAGTTTTGATCTCTCTCCTCTTTAGTTAGTCTTCTTTATTGGATGCACTATGGTTAACAAAATCTAGTTAACTTGTTAAGACACTTTACTGTACAAAGAACTTTTTGCCCATGAAAATTTGGAAACCCGGCCCTCTATTTATCACGTCACTCGTCATTTGTCCTAAACCACCCAGCTTTTTCTTTTTGCCCTCTTTCTGACTTTGATAAATAATACTTTCAAAGTTTCCCGTTATTTGTTAATTATTTCAAAGCAAACTGAAATCTCATGAACTTATACTCACTCGATCATATATTTATCCCTTGGCCTTCAAACAGAGAGTACAAGACGGTTTCAGTTCCCTTTTATATTTAGTGTCATTTTTCCAATTGTATTGCTGGAAAGCTAATATTTTCACCACTCAGAGAGAAAAAGGCCGATTAAGTTATTCTCAGTTAGATCCTTTCTTTAGTGGGGACAAATCGCGAAAATATTTCGAAGTATATCCATAACAGTTTGTCGAATGTGTCTCATCTTCCAGCAGTAGATCAAGGGATTAAGGGATGAATTGAGATACACAAGAGTCCTTGTGAAATAAGATAAATGAGATAACAAGGGAGTTTCACCATTGGTCTGGGCAAAAACAACACAATACAATGGCAAATAGCAAAGTAAATACACAAAATAAACGTAGAATGTAGCCAGTGAAGATTTTTTCAGCCTTGCGGCATTTGCCATATCTTCATTCTGTGTCGCCGGTTGTACTTGCAGAGCGTGAATCTGATTTGTGTGGTGTCTCACGGAAGCGTATATCTTGCAATAAAGCAATCCTGTAGTTATGACACAAACAAGTGCAATGACCGCTCGCATAATACGAGGACTTCGGAAGGAAATTGACGCACTAAACACCCAGAGTGAGATCACAACAGCAACAACACGTTTGTGGGTCACAAGCTCTTGATATCTGAGATGAAGCTGAATGGCCAAGAATCTGTCCACAGCTAATGCAGAAACACCAAAATGCGAAGCAAAGACCAATATTTTTGCCGGGATTGAACGCGCTAACTTTACTGTAGAATAAGCAGTACTGTTTTTTTCCATCACAAGAAATGCAACAAACAGTGGTTCGACAAGTAAGCCTACATCCAGATCAGACACAGCCAGGCTTAGTAGCAATGTTTTTAAAGTCTTAGGCAACGACGACGTTTTTCTGAGCGCTTGCATGGTTATGATGTTTAATACGATGGCGGTGAAAGACAAGAAAGCGTTGAAGAAAACAAGTGTCAAATGCAAGCCTTCAGCACTTGCCATCTTTTTTTTTTACATAACCCTATTCTAATCAGCGTTCAGTTTCTATGATATGCAAAGAATTTCATTGCTTTCTAGGTTTCATCCGTTTTTGAATGAGACTGACCTTCAGCTTCCACCATTGAATGGAGCGTTATATACAGTCTTAAGTTTCAGCAGCTGTACTTTTGAGGAACTCTGCAAATGTTTTCTTTTTTGCACGAGACTGACGCTGGAAATTACTCTTTGCGAGACTTACTGAATATTCTCCAGACTTCCTCTTCGAATAACAATTGGTTTTTAAATGAGTACTGTGGAGTTAGTAAAAAAAGTCCGTAAGTCGTGCTCACATTATCCAAACTCTCACCTTGCTTGAAATTGAAACTTTGCATGTCTGAACCCGGAATTAAAACTTTAAATGTAACGTCATCATCGCACAGTAATTAGTATTAATCTTCTTTCAAGCGAAACGCAATAGGTCGTATAAATGTTGAAGTTCGTCAGTTAAAAAGGAAGGAAGTTATATGAAACTACTGATGCAATATTAAATAAGCAAAAGGCAGTTGGGTTTCAATCATGAATCGCAAACATACAGTCAGACAGAACGAGCTGAGAGGTGACTTGAGAGGAAAACGGAACTTTTACGTCGCAAACCAATCCAACAGTATTTGCTGGACCCATGAACACATTTTTTGATAAATTGCACGTTCACGGGTGACTTAAAGAGTGTGAGGCGGCCTAAAGATACAGCACCCTAGTTACTTAATAAATCATCTGTTCCTTAATAATTAAAGCAGCTAATACGATGTAAGTCGTATTATATAGCTTCAGTTTAAAAGACATAGGCTGAATATTCTTATTTTTCTCTGCCGATTTTGGGCTGAAAATATTCTTGTATTATTCTTTAATTGTATCAGGATAAAGTTCGTCAGTCAAATGGAAGTAAGTTATTCGAAACTATTGCCGCGATATCAAGTAGAAATGGCACCTGGTTTGCGGTGAATCGTAAACAGAAAGTCAAACAGGAAAGAGTTAGACGATCGTTTAGAGGAAGCGCTGACTATTAGGTCTGAGACCAATCCTACATGTTTGCTGGACTTAAGCGAAACAAACGCCCATTATTCAAAAATAAATACGTGGGCAGCCAGAGGCTAAATTGCGTATTTACGAATAAAACTAAGCTAAAAATAAAATAATTTACCATACATCGATGAATATTAAATATATTAAAAATTCATGCATATAATATATAAAAGCATTCAAACCGAATCATTTAATTGTACTTTAATTAGACACGATGACAAAATAAAAGTGTTCTTAAAACGGTCCGTTTTCCACTTTGGAAGTGCAAAGTATCGGTGATTTCTTAGTAAATATGGAGCCTTATTGGCTTAAGTTAATATCTTGTTAAGTTTGTTATCCTTGTTGCAGAGGGCAGCGTTAAAAACCTTGTCACATATGTCCTCGCAATATGAAATAATGGTCGGAATACCAGTTTCATTAAGTGCCTCGTCATAAGACAGACTGGGGCAAATGATTGGTAACGCCCTTTTGTTTTAGTAACTGTGACAAACGACGAGTCTTTTGAGTTGAGAGAAGAAACTTGTTCCCCGAAAAAAAAAAATATTAGCTAAGCTTTTAAAACATAGACCAGCACAGTAGGTAGTTAGTCTCGTTTGTGTGCGCGCCAAAAGGGAATCATGGTCCCAGGCGTTACTAGCGGAGATCGTGGAAACTGAAGATGGGAATTGCTACCTGTCACAGCGCCATGCTCTATTTTGTAAACAAAGCTTAGGAGAGATTGATGCAGAGATGCTGAGCTTTCCGGGAACGGGTCGGTCCACGAATTCTATTGCTTGAAAGCGTTGATTACTTTGGAACAGGTGAATGCTTCAGTGAAAACTTCGATGGTGAGGCTATAAACTGGTCGGGCGTTGTAAACTTTCATGGTATGAAAATGAGTCTTGTGATGAGCATGCGGTTTATTTTTGGCGATGATTGAAATGACGCGCCATGTTCGTTACGTTTTTACTTTCTAGCAATGATTTGTATTTGTACACGCATGTATTTTGAAGAAAATATTCATTAAATATTCTGAATTTATTAAATTTTCTGAAGAATATACGACCGTCGATAAAGTGGGAAGTGAAACCTTTAAGCGAAGAAATCCTGCTTCGTGTAGAATTAATCGCCTCCTTATCTCTTATCTAATCTCCAAGCAACCGAGACTGGCCCTTTTAAGGTGGCTCCGTCATTAATATTGGAGCATTTGGCTGTGACAAATTTTCCGTCATAACTTTTTCTTTTTAAGAGCGATGGCTGCGAAACTTTGCAACGAACAACAGATATCATTCGGCAATAGTACGAAATATTCCGATTTTATTGATTGTAAATATTTCTTGAGAAATTAGCGCTTAAAAGGACCCTTGTGTTCAAAGAAAATCGCGTCTAGTAAAAAATTTTGCTGATACTTTTTATTGAAATTTTTGGTATCGGCTTTCATTGACATAATAAATGTGCCAAAGAAATTTCAGAAAAATCGTTGGAGCAGAAGTCAGTAACTAAAAGTCGCTCAAAATTCAGCTGTGAAATTGTTTTGGAATTTCAAAAATAAATTACTATCAGGTAGAAGGAGCCACCAGTTCAAATTTTCGGGACAAGTAAATTCAGTGTTTGCTAAAAATGAAAACAAAAGCTGATTGCGTATCGTGCTATTCTTTAAAAGGTACTTTTTAGTTTTAGAAGCACTATAAACTGCTCCAAACCTTGCTCTGACGTCGAATGACTTGTTCCTCGACATTTTTAAAATATCAAGCGGGCAAGATGAGCCCTTTTTACCCACTTGGGATTTCCCGCATTGGTCCCGCAAGTAAAAGTTCTCTTCTTGGCCATGTAATAATTCATTTATTGACCACGCTTGTTCGTTCAAGATGGCTGAATATTGGCCACATTCATTTTTGCATTTTTATTGACCAAGACCAGGCTATACTCTGTGGCCCGTGGCACCTACATCTGTAACTTTTGTTCTCGGGTGACCAGAAAATCTTTGCTTTTTCATAGAAACATCTTTTGTTGGGCACCCTGGATTTCACAAGTTGAGAGTGCTGGGCTGCCTTCAATTGTTCTTAGAGCACAGCCTTGCAAGAGGAAGGCAGGGTTAATAAAGATGCAAATATCCAGCCATCTTAACCTCACACCCAGTCAATAAAGCATAATTATTTATCTCCATTTTATGGTTGAATCCATGAGGGGGCAAGATGCATGAAGCAAATCCTGTGATCTAATTAGCTACTAATGTGGGCAAACCAATCAAGCTTGTTTGGTGAAGATAGCTGGGTATTGGCCTCGCAAAAAAGAGTTTGGCCAATATCCCGCCATCTTGACCGCATGTTGGTCAATAACGCATAATCATTTATAACAATAATAATTATTAGAACTTTGTGAACATCTTTTCCAGAAAGGCATTTTATATTGCTTAAAAAGGGCTAGGTTATGCTATATTTTGTTCTGTGAGAGGCTTAAACGTGTCGTGGCGTAAATTAAGCTCCAAAAATAATGGTCCAGTTTTGTTATTTAATACTTGATTGAGGCATTGGGACTGTTTCCTGTCACCTCTTGCTATGTATGACAAGGATGAACATGGATTGACACTTGGCCAACTTTTTCAAGCTTAAAATAATACTCTGACTGCGTAAATCACCAAGAATTATTATGGTTTGTACTTCCTGATGAAATTGGCTTGATTCATGTATCTTCTTCACAATTCTACAAGTCGAGCATTTTGTGTATGGGTAAAGACACTAAGTGATGACTTCAGCATAGAAGTGACCTAAAACGTATGCATGAAACATACTTTGTTTATTGTTGTTGTTTTTTTGCATTTGAATCTTTGCACTGGTCATAGAAAATTGTGTAGTTTAGACTACCATGTCAGAAGAGTAAGAATATTTCCTGACACAATATAATATTATCCTGAAGCAGAATGGTGATATAAGTAAGTGGTATACGATCATACAGGTTAGTATAGTACTTAGTGGGACTGTTGACAGGAACCGATATTTTGACAATGCCCATGAAAATGATGATTACCTTGTTGTCAAAACGTTAGTCGCTGTCAACAACAGTCCTACTCAGGACTACAATGTACATTCACCCGACAAATCATATTCCACTTTGTTGAAATATTATAGACAACCAAACCTATCACTAGCCATAAGCTGCACATGAAAGTGTTTATCACTATCTGCTATAAACGATATTAATTTGTTAACAGATTTGACATTTTCTTTACAAAAAAACACTACGTTGTCCTACAGAAAATTTCTAGTGGATTTCCTAAAGGAAGCCTCTTACTATTCTTGTTCATTGCTAGTGTGAATAGGCACTCACACTTAAAATGTAATTTAACTTAACCAAGAATACCCGATTGTCAATTTAGGAATTGAAGCAAGGAGAATAAAGAAAGTACTTGGAAACAGGGGCACCCAACGAGAGTATAGTTCAAAACCACATAAACATAGCATTGTTGAACGTACTTTAGTATTTAAACGGTAGATAAAGGCTTATTTTTATCCCCTAAAAATTTTTCATCTGTTCGGATTTCCTAGCTGAAAGTATAGTGATCCGAAAATTATAGGGATCAAAATTTACCTTTTCGATAATTTCAGCCAGAAAAAAGGCTCCCGAAAATTCTAGGCGACCTTTCTAGGGTAAAAATCCTTTAAAAATGGGCAATTATACGATTTTTTTGAAGTTCGAAAATCCTAGGAGAGGCAGGCAAGCAAGAAATTTGTCAGAAAATGATCCGAAAATTCTAGACCTCAAATCGTCTTCCGAACAGATAATTTTCCGAAAATTGTCGTTGGGTGCCCCGGTTGGAAAGATCGCTTTGGTATCATTTTGTGCAATACAAATGTCGAGAGAATAGGTTTTTGTTACTATAGATGGCGGGAAAACCACCCCAAGATAGTGAAAAGCGCTTTTTTCAAGATGGAAATAACTTGAAAACACCAGTTTCCGACTCG